TACATGCTTCGTTGTTACGTATTACTGTTCCACACGCAGTTGGGTCTACGTAGACGAGAACGGACCCGCATTTTATCCGGACCAAGGACTTCAGACATTGCATTGGCTACATCTAAGTTATTATTTATTATTTTGACATATTCAAAGATTTAAAGCAAGATGATATATGGTTTGTATATTGAATCGGTCAGTGACTCTTCAAATCTTGTTCATCATACATATCTCGTGGGGAAAAAGCGTTAGTTCCGAAGCTTTATTTTATCAAGTGTGACATAGATAATACAGAACTTGACGATAAAAATCTTATAAATTGGCAATATTTGTTCGTCGCTCAGTACTAGAATCATTGTTATAATGTATAATAGTGTATTGTAAAGCTTTAACTAAGTACAATAAGTAAACTTTAAATGCCATATTATATATTTTCTAACTATACAACTTGTAGCTGTATATATATTGTATATATATATATATATTGTATATATATACATATTCTTAACCTGGAGAACCTCCTCTATTCGCCCATACCCATTTTAAATTTCATATATTATTTTAAACAATGTCATAATTGGTTAAATGCTAACATCGCTAAGTAAAAATAAAATCCACCTTTAACTTATCTGGTGGTATAATTCATAAGATATCAAAAAAAGCCACTTGAAAACGTTAACTCTTTAGGTGGTGAATATAGGGCCAAACGGTTTACAAATTATGTACATACATAAGTATGCTGATTTCAACAGATTATCAGTGCAAGCCGTGACTAACCACTTTCCTCAGAAGTTTCAATACAATTACACATTTTTTATTCAAGTATCAACACCAATGCACACTTCTGGCATATTTTTGTTTATACTGTCTCAACGTGTTTTAACTAATTTCGAATTTCTCAAACAAACAAAAATGTTATCTCATTTCTTGATCTTATTGAATAAGTAAGAATGAGAAAATACATTTGTCATTAGTGCCAAAAGAAAAATTTCAAAATAGGATACAAAAGTGTGAGTGCAAAATGCAAGTCATTTGCGTTTTTGAAGGACAGAGGTAAATTGACAAAGTTCTTTGTAATTTTATATATTTGTATTTAACTATTTTTTTTTTTTACTTTTTTCTATAATCACAATCAACATTGGATGACTTTGAATTATAGCAAGTTTATCCTAAATAGACACTCGAAAGTCTGAAGATTTCAGTAGGAAATCGTCTTTATTGTCTAATCCCCACTTAGGAGGTCATCTAGCGGGAGGCTCAGGAAACGAGATGTTTTGACGGGGTCGGACCATAATAAAAATAGTATTAGACGAGTAGGGTTCGTTGGGCATGCAAAAAGGCGGTTAGCGTCATACGGAGGCTCATTGCATGCAGGACATATATTTGATATGCCCGGGTCTGAATAGGTAGGATTTTAACCTGCTACAGTATCCAGAACGAAGTTGCGCAAGGGTCACTCTACATTCTCGTGGCAACTCGAGCTCTTCATCTGCGAAGGGTGGTGGTTTGTTTCCAAGTACGCCATTGCCTGAGAGGGAGTCGGTGAAGGTGTTGATACCTTCACTACAAATAACGATCAGTGCATGCCTAAAATTCGTTGCGTCCGAAGTCTGGTCGGCGTACTGCCTAATGTCATCGATCCGGTTCCGCTTCATGCAGGGTGGTTTCAGCGGAAACGTCCCAGCAGAAACAGCTTGAAGAGGAGTTCGTTGTGTTTCTTAACCACAAGCATACGGGCCTCACAATGTAGGTGTTCGATTAGGACATCAAGAGGCACCTGCGATAGTCCGGAGTGCAGTGTTCTGACATGCCTCAAGCCTCTTCGTCTACGTTGCACCACATCCAGGCGACCATATTGGTGCAGCGTAGTTTAAGACCGGCCGGCCATGAGCTGCCGGCAATCAATTTGAGGATTTTGTTGCGGCTCTGTACTTTGGCAGTTATCGCGGTCTAGTCCAGTCATTATAGTAAGTTCACCTCGGAATTCAGATACCCAGCTGTAAGTCTGTAAATACTTGTATATTGACACCCTAAAAGTTGTCTCAAAACCTGCATATGGTAGGGTGTACGCAACTATTAAATTTCAAGGTCAAAGGTCACAAAAATCGGTTTTTTGCCTTTTTTTGTAAATATCTCATTTCCTATGGGTTTTTTGCTATTGGTATTTATTATCAATAGTGTAGAATACAAAACTCTCTACAAATTTTGTTTAAAAATTTTTTTCATACGGTGAACCGTTTTCGAGATATAGGGCTTAGAGCACGCAGTCACATCATCACTTCAGGTCAACCGGTGGCTCCGATCAAAAACGCGCGACCCTGACATACCAAACACATGTCCTGCATGCAATGAGTCTCCGCATGACACTAACCACCTCTTTGCATGCCCAACAAACCTCACTCATCTAACACCCCTCTCCCTATGGTCCGACCCCGTCGAAACAGCTCGTTTCCTGGGCCTTCCGTTAGATGACCTCGACGACAACGAATCTAGAATTTATCACCCAAACAGGGATTAGATAATCGTTACAACAACAACAACAGATTTACAAAAACGAAACCAATTGTAGGAACTCAACAACTACATTGTGTAATCCCCGACAAAAATGGTTTGTTGAAATATTAGAATCTGAAGGAATCTTTCCAAAGAACATCAAAATTTCTCAAAATAAAGTTACATATATTTCTTGTGTATAAAATATCAACAAATTAATAAATGTAAAAAATGCAATTGTAAATTTAAACATATATTTTTATTAATAAATAATAAGGCATCACATGACATTTAGTGTTGATATAGTTCGGAGTAATTTATAGTTTAGAGCCAGAGAAACTTGAAGACTTAGCTAATTGCATATCCAATGATGGCGGATTTACTAGTTTTCGAATCACATTAAATTTTGGGTGGTTTTTATCGCGCAGCAAATTAAAAATTATGCTCTCACTAGTGGTAATTATACAACCAGCTTCACGTAAGCGTTCCAGTGCCAAATCACGGTCCTGATTTAGACGAGAAGTGCAACAATCAGCAACAATATAAACATTAATACCGCAGTTTAAGAAATCGATTGCGGTTTGTTCGATACATACATGAGACTGGAATAAAAAAAAGTATAAGAGTGTATGGATGAGCAATGAAACACATTTCACAACAAGGTGGATCTTGTGTTGTTATAAATTCTCATATATGTCTACTAAAGTCGTTAATTTTACCTCTAATCCATAGAGTACAACATCACAAGGCTTCTCCCCGTATATTGTTTTTATTTTATTTTCCAATTCTGGTACAAGCATACTGAACTGGGTTTTACTTATAATAGCTGCAGCATGCGAAATATCTAAATCGGGAACAGTTTTTCCCAGCTTTTCAGGAAATTGCTCCGACACTATAAGAGGAATTTCAAACTCTTTACCAGCTCTGGTCTGCAAACAGTCAAAGGTCAAAAATATATTAACAAATCAACCAGGTTTCTTACCAATTTATTAGCGTTGGTCACTAACCCCTCGAATAGTGGAATCACTGGTCGGAATTTCTCCTGGATATCACAGAGAAGGAATAGAGTTTTTTTGGAATTGAGAAATCGTAAACGATGCGCCATGTTTTTGAATTCAAATTATAAATTCAACAAAATTAATAGCTAGTGATATTTCAACAAAAGTTGGATGTATGGAAGGAAAAATGTTTATTTTATTTATGATATAATTTAACTATGACTATACCACATTTAACTATTTATGATTATAAGTTATATGGGATATCTGTATAAACTTTTCAAAAAACCAAATTTGTAAATTTCCAACCAGAAACTATCGCACATAAAAAAACATCAGCTGTTTAATTTGATAAATGCTTTAATACGGAGATAAAGAGATGCCCAACTCATCTCTCACTGGAAATTAGAGCGCAATTGCTAAACGAGAGAGAGATGGTCCTAAAAGTTCCATCTTCGTTAATGTCGCTCTGATATGGTAGAGCATTGAGAAAGGCTTGCCCATTAATTGGCCACAAGCTAAATAGCATTGCAAGCCGCTTTCCTGCATCCGCATCACGAACCACAACACTCTTGCAGTTGCAGAAACTTGTATTTAGCAAATGTTCTGGAGCAGGTGGTAAATTCTCATGATAGGCTCGCAGAAAATACTGGGGTTCCAAATCATGCCCTAACACAGTTTGAACTATAATATACACGTTGAATGTTGATGCAGCTGCACTTGTTGGTGGAATATTTGAAGCTGCACAGGTTTATTTTTGTAGACTTGACGTAATGCATATAACGAAGATGATCGAGACTTTTTCAACAGATTTCGGAGCATTACAGACTGCCAATAAGGTTTGAGTTCCACTCTCTAATAATCTCTGGGCCGAACAATTTTCTTCCTCAAATGCTGCAGCTAGTTCATCCAAATTGTCAGTTTCTCAAAACTTTTAAAAATGTTTTTCCCTTTTAAAAGCGCAGAAGTTGTGTCACATCCACTTAATGCGTGCAGAAATAAAATATGTGTTTTGGAAGAGGATAATATCAAAACTTTTAGTCGAGTATATCTCCGTTTTTACATTGCCTTTCCCAACTTTTTTAAAGACAATTTCTTGTTCGTAAGACAGTGTACGCCCAATTAAAATGATGAGTAAATCAATATCTTGTCCTATTATTTACAAATTTACAGATTTTAAAGAAGATGCACTTAATTATTTTCTAATTAAAATGTCATTAGTGTTAATGGGAATATAATTATAGTAAGATTTAAGTTTTTCCCTTCATTATTTTTTAATTTTAGGAAACGGTGATCAGTATTATTGAATAGATAAAGATTTAAGGCATGAAGAAAATGATAAAATATAATATAATAGTTAATAAAATTGACAAATATTTATAATCATTGATTTATCGATAGTTCATCAACTATATATGGCGCGTTTTTGATCGGAGGCACCGGTTGACCTGAAGTGATGCTGTGACCGCGCGCTCTAAGCCCTCTATCTCGAAAACGGTTCACCGTATGAAAAACATTTTTAAACAAAATTTGTAGAGAATTTTATATTCTACAATATTGATAATAATATCATAGCAAAAACCCATAGGAAATGAGATATTTACAAAAAAAAAGCGCAAAAAACCGATTTTTGTGACCTTTGACCTTGAAATTTAATAGTTGCGTACACCCTACCATATGTAAGTTTTGAGACAACTTTTAGGGTGTCAATATACAAGTATTTACAGACTTACAGCTGGGTATCTGAATTCCGAGATTCTTACCTAATTTAAGCTTAAATGACTGGACTAGTCGTGTGAGGAGTGAAGGAGCACAGGCTGTAAAATGTAACACCTTAAAGTTTAGGGTTATTGAAGTCCAGTTTGTGAAAATTGTCGCTGTGGATTTAGTGCGGGAGTGTGTTAGGCTCCTTGTAGAGAAGAATCGAGAAAGGTCAAAGACCGCTCAGGTAGTTAATAGTCAACCGCCCTGGATGTCCTCAAGTAGCGTTGTGTGGTTGACTGTGCTTTTGACAAGTCCAACGTTACGAGGATCGTCCTCTCACGGGGTGGTTTTTGGTTTACTTTTCATAAGCCATACTGATGGTTGCTAGGAAATCGTTTATAGCACACGGAGGGGTTATGAAACTGCGCTCCAAAGAATCATAACGCCTTTGGCGGGTTCACCAGTTTTGAAAACTTAGTGTGTCACTAGTTGTCAGTATTTTCAGTTTATTGCATATTTATTGTTTTTCCTCACCACCTCTGAGGATTCAATATAGGAGCGTTACCGGCCGTTTTTGTGTGTTCCCATTAGGCCTATATACATCTATATAATATATGCCGTTCTAAATCAATATACTTTTCATAACAAATATAACTAAAAAAAATTCTATATATAAAATCAGGTACAATTCATGGATAGTATTTATATTAGTAATTGTGTTCAATAACAAATACATGACAAAACAATATTCTTGTATTTATTTCAACAAAAACTAAAATATATATAAAAGATTTCAATGGTATCAAATTTATGAACATCTTGATAATAATCAGAACAGTGTACTAATCAGTAAACAATATTTACAAAATATTCTAAACCACACACAGCGATATACTTATTACATGCAAATTTAATCTTTGGGAATTTTGATAGTCGAAAAATCGAATAAGTAATAAAAACATTCTTTAAGCTATACACTTTAAAAAAATAACACGGCAACACACTGTAGCAGATTTGAGGCACTTAGACTTTTTTTGCGTGGGTGTTAGTGAAAATCTTAGGATTGGTTATTTGTAGATTTATACAATGTTGGTGTCCCTCATTGCATTCATAATTGTGCTCCGGTGGCATGGTTCCTTCGTACATATGTATGTACATATTGAAGGTAAATGTATAAGACCAACTAAGGAGGCCTCAAAAATTAATTTTTAAATCGTCTTATTTTGACGCGAATATTACAAGTCCGTGAGCGGAAATGAATTTTTCAATAATTTATGTATATATTTACAAATATATTTAATGCACTTTGCACATATTTTTTAAGTCACTTGGTTGTCTTGTTGTAGCGGCAAAATTCTTCAGAATTCATATCAATTAGCTGTAATTACCAGTTCAGCGAGTTAAACATTTTCTTGTGAAAAAAATACTATACAACGACAGCTGTATATATATTGTATATACAATATATATATATTGTATATATATATATATATTGTATATATATACATATTCTTAACCTGGAGAACCTCCTCTATTCGCCCATACCCATTTTAAATTTCATATATTATTTTAAACAATGTCATAATTGGTTAAATGCTAACATCGCTAAGTAAAAATAAAATCCACCTTTAACTTATCTGGTGGTATAATTCATAAGATATCAAAAGCCACTTGAAAACGTTAACTCTTTGGTGGTGAATATAGGGCCAAACGGTTTACAAATTATGTACATACATAATATGCGATTTCAACAGATTATCAGTGCAAGCCGTGACTAACCACTTTCCTCAGAAGTTTCAATACAATTACACATTTTTTATTCAAGTATCAACACCAATGCACACTTCTGGCATATTTTTGTTTATACTGTCTCAACGTGTTTTAACTAATTTCGAATTTCTCAACAAACAAAATGTTATCTCATTTCTTGATCTTATTATAAGTAAGAATGAGAAAATACATTTGTCATTAGTGCCAAAAGAAAATTTCAAAATAGGATACAAGTGTGAGTGCAAAATGCAAGTCATTTGCGTTTTTGAAGGACAGAGGTAAATTGACAAAGTTCTTTGTAATTTTATATATTTGTATTTAACTATTTTTACTTTTTCTATAATCACAATCAACATTGGATGACTTTGAATTATAGCAAGTTTATCCTAAATAGACACTCGAAAGTCTGAAGATTTCAGTAGGAAATCGTCTTTATTGTCTAATCCCCACTTAGGAGGTCATCTAGCGGGAGGCTCAGAAACGAGATGTTTTGACGGGGTCGGACCATAATAAAATAGTATTAGACGAGTAGGGTTGTTGGGCATGCAAAAGGCGGTTAGCGTCATACGGAGCTCATTGCATGCAGGACATATATTTGATATGCCGGTCTGAATAGGTAGGATTTTAACCTGCTACAGTATCCAGAACGAAGTTGCGCAAGGGGTCACTCTACATTCTCGTGGCAACTCGAGCTCTTCATCTGCGAAGGGTGGTGGTTTGTTTCAAGTACGCCATTGCCTGAGAGGGAGTCGGTGAAGGTGTTGATACCTTCCACTACAAATAAGATCAGTGCATGCCTAAAATTCGTTGCGTCCGAAGTCTGGTCGGCGTACTGCCTAATGTCATCGATCCGGTTCCGCTTCATGCAGGGTGGTTTCAGCGGAAACGTCCCAGCAGAAACAGCTTGAAGAGGAGTTCGTTGTGTTTCTAACCACAAGCATACGGGCCTCACAATGTAGGTGTTCGATTAGGACATCAAGAGGCACCTGCGATAGTCCGGAGTGCAGTGTTCTGACATGCCTCAAGCCTCTTCGTCTACGTTGCACCACATCCAGGCGACATATTGGTGCAGCGTAGTTAAGACCGGCCGGCCATGAGCTGCCGGCAATCAATTTGAGATTTTGTTGCGGCTCTGTACTTTGCAGTTATCGCGGTCTAGTCCAGTCATTATAGTAAGTTCACCTCGAATTCAGATACCAGCTGTAAGTCTGTAAATACTTGTATATTGACACCTAAAGTTGTTCAAACCTGCATATGGTAGGGTGTACGCAACTATTAATTTCAGGTCAAAGGTACAAAATCGGTTTTTGCCTTTTTGTAAATATCTCATTTCCTATGGGTTTTTGCTATTGTATTATTATCAATAGTGTAGAATACAAAACTCTCTACAAATTTTGTTTAAAATTTTTCATACGGTGAACCGTTTTCGAGATATAGGGTTAGAGCACGCAGTCACATCATCACTTCAGGTCAACCGGTGGCTCGATCAAAACGCGCGACCCTGACATACCAACACATGTCCTGCATGCATGAGTCTCCGCATGACACTAACCACCTCTTTGCATGCCCAACAAACCTCACTCATCTAACACCCTCTCCTATGGTCCGACCCCGTCGAAACAGCTCGTTTCCTGGGCCTTCCGTTAGATGACCTCGACGACAACGAATCTAGAATTTATCACCCAAACGGGGATTAGATAATCGTTACAACAACAACATCAAAAACGCGCCATATATAGTTGATGAACTATCGATAAATCAATGATTATAAATATTTGTCAATTTTATTAACTTTATATTATATTTTATCATTTTTCCTAACCTATCCACTTTTTATTCAGTATTAATTTAATTAACAACACTTACCTGCCCATGAAATTGCAGAATTGTTAATGAAAATATAGGAATTATATTTGAATTTAAACCTTATTACTATTAATAACTTCTTACATGATAAAAATAAAA